CTTCCTTTATTAATCTGAATAAGAAGTGTAATACACAGAACAAGCTTGTATCTTTGTGACAGGGCAAATGTTCTGCTAATGCCTTCTTTCAGGAGTTCAATATCCTGGCCTGGAAGGTAGGATTCATACTCAGGTTCAATAATGTCCTTATTAGGATGCTTGAAAAAGCTCTTTACTCAGAACTAGTTAATAAGATCCTTAGAATAATACTAGAACTAGTCACTTACACTAAGTGGAAGACATGTGCTATCTCCTTCAACCAAGCTGTAGCTCAGATGTGTCAAGTCTGTACAGAATGCTTACACATACATCTGGCTCTAACAGTTCTAAGCCCTTAGATTGATCTGCTTATAATTTGTAATCAATCCATTCTAATAGACATTAGAGAAGCCTGAAAGTAAGGAGTATACTTTACTTACAGAAAGTTAGAGTACTAGATTAAGGACTGTCTATAGAAGTAACAGTATATCTGTCAGGTTATTAGAGTAATAATGAGTAATGAGTAGGATTTGTAGTAAGAAGCTTTTTCTACAAATCCAGAAGTCACCTTAGAACTCTTAGACCCTAACTATACACTCTAGGATTTTGTAGAGGCCTAACAGTGAATGTAGTACTGAAGGGCTATGACTCAAATTTTTTAATAGTTACTTTTGATTCAATAAACACTATAGGATTAGAAGTAAATAAAGTAAGAAAAGTAGAAAAAGTAGAAAAAGTAGAAAAAATAAATCAACAAAATTATTTATTAGAAAGAAAAAAGTCAGAAACAAAAGTAGATAGTTCTCCTATTTCTTCTGATTCTTTTGATTCTTCTCTTTACACTTTATCCAAGTCTAAATCCACACAATCTGACCTGTCACTTCTGTGTTCTAAAATCTTAGAACATTCAGAACACTACCCAGCCCTGTTTACTACTCAGTAGTTTATCTGTAGTATCAAGTAAGAATAGCCTCAGCTGAGTTCACAGCTGAGAACATAAGTCTGTCCTTGTTGAAAGAGAGAGGTTAATAAGGAAATGTTAGTGTATATACTCACCCTCTCAGACAATAAGACTGTACAAGCTGTACATTCCCTTCAGAACAAGTAGTAGTTTATCTAAGAATGTTCTAGACATTAGCTCTAGATCCCTGTCCTCTTGGCTCCCTTCTCAGGATCCCTCCAGATCTGAACAATAGCTCTAGTAGACAGTAAATGTACTAGTTTGTGTATTAATAAGGCCTTTGTGTAGGAACACCACCTCCCTACTCAACACATTCTACTTCTAATCCTAGTATACAATACAGACAGAACCCTGAACCAGAATGGTCAGATTACTAAGTTTGTCCAACTATGGATGACTATTCAGGATTATAAGGAAAGTATTGAGTTTAGAGTCACTAACCTTAGAAAGGTAGACATCTTTATTAGATTTGAATGACTCAAGGCTTACAACCCTACTATTGACTAGTTAGAGTAGACACTTGTGTTCAATCAGTGTCCTGAGTCTTACAGCTACCTTACACTACTGTTCTGAGTAGATACAGATACTTCTAATATTACTAACAGTTCTAATAAAGGTGACTAGTTGTTCTTCTTTGACTAGGATAAATATGTGGATACATATTCTAGTCAAGGCAGAACAGAGTCAATCTGAAGGATGTCTATAACAGAACCAGTCCAGAACCCTCTTAGAACAACTCTACTCTAGAATGTATATAGACCCAGCCTGCTGGATTTTGTCTAAGAGTTCCTCAAAGTCTTTAGTAAAGAGGAATTCAACCAGCTTCCTAAACACTGTCTTTAGGACTATATAATTGAATTGACTGAGAGTTTCTAACCTAAGGATTGTAAAGTCTACCTACTCAACAGAGACAAGTAGGAGGTGCTTAACAAGTTCCTTCAGGAAAATCTTTAGAACAGCTGGATCCAACCCTTAAAGTCCTTTATAGTCTCCCCTTTCTTCTTTGTCAAAAAGAAAGATAGGAAGCTCTACCTAGTCCAGGATTATTGTTGTCTTAATAAGGGTACTATTAAAAACAAGTACTTACTCTCTCTAATTCAGGAGCT